ACTTAAAATAATGTGTAGTGCTTAAAAACATCATAAGAGATGTGAGATGTCCATAGTTGGTGTACCCTCTTTCACTTGTTAGTTGAGCTTAGGACAGATTAGTTATCCTGTTTGCTATGGGTGAATTGTGTAGTCTGAAAATTCTATGTTGATGTCTTATCCCCCAGTGTCTCATGATGTGGTTTTACTTTGAAGTAGGGTATAGTGGTGCATGCCTGTAACCCAAGCACTCTGGAAAGTGGAAGAGGGAGGTTTGCAAGTTTGGGCCTACCCTGGGCAATTTAGAGATCCTGTCTCAAAATTTAAAAACAAAACAAAACAAAAAACAAACAAACAAAAACAGAAAAGGCTTAAGATGTAACTCAATGTGGCTTACCTGAAGCCAATGGAATTTATCATTCTGAAAATCTGAAGGCCTTTAAAAATCATATTAAGTTTACTCTGCCTATATTCAGTAAATGGAGCAAAAAACTTATATGACCACTCACCTGTTTGCAACATGAGTTATTGAAGATTTTAAGTCCAGTGTTGATAACTATTTCTCAGGAAAAAAAAAAGAATCCTTCAGAATATCAATGCTGGTCACTGCCGGCATACTTAGCCATACAAGACCTTGGATGGCAATATATTGTATCCACATTGTTTTCATTCTTGCTAAGACCATGTCCATTCATGGGTCAAAGAGTAATTTTTACTTTTAAGTCTTATTAGTTAAGAAATTCATTCCCTAAAGCTATACCTATCATAGTAATTTCTTTGATAGATCAAGAGTAAGTCAATTGAAAACTTGCTGAAAATTACTCAGTATTTTTGATGCATTTAAGAACATTTGTAATTCATACAAGGAGAAAACATATACATTAATAGGTGTCTGGAAGAAGTTAATTCTAACTCATGAATATCTTTGAGGAATTCAAGACTTCAGTGGAAGAAGTAAGGTAGAAATAGAAAGTGAACTAGAATTATAAATGGAGTCTGAAGATGTTAGTGACCTAGTGAAATTTCATGGTAAAACAGGAACAGATGAGGAGTTACTTCTTATGGATGAGCAAAGAAAGTGCTTTCTTGAGATAAAATCTACCCCTGGTTAAGATGCTACTAACGTTGATGAAATGACAGTAGAGTAGAGTGTTACACAAATCTAATTGATACAGCAGCAGCAGGGCTTGAGAGAATTGGCTCCAGTCTTAAAGAGTTTTATTATTGCTAAAATGTTATCAAGCAGCCTCACGTGCTAGAGAAAGTTTTTATGAAAGGAAAAATCAGTCAATGAGGCAAACTTCATTATTGTCTTGTTTTAAGGAATCGCTGCCCAACTTTCAGCAGCCATCACCCTGATCAGTCAGTAGCCATCAACATCTGGCAAGACTTTCCACCAGAAAAAATTATGATCATCTCAAGGCTAAGGAAATCGTCAGCTTATTTTTTTAAGCAATAAAGTATCTTTAAGGTATGTACACTGATTTTAGACATGTTACTACACACTACACAGATTATAGTATAGTTTTAATATAGTGTAAATATAACTAACATAGTGTACATATAATTTTTGTATGTACTAGGAAACAAGAAAATGTGCATGATGTACTTTATTGCAATAAATGCCTTATTGTGGTCATCTGGACTTAAACTTGAACTATCTCCAAGGTATTCCTGTATTTTTATTCTTTCTATATTGATACACATTCTCTTCTTCTTGCTTAGGACTTCCTTCCCTGTCTGGCTAGGCTAAGTGCATTTTCTAAGCAGTTATAGAGGCTTCTAGTGAAATCCAAGGAGAGAGGATAAGGAGGGAGGACATACTTTCCTTTCACAGAAGCCCACATGTCTCATTTTTCTGGAAACCAGGTACTGACATTTCTGTAGCACTTCTGTGACCACTCCTTTTAGCTTCATCCCACTCAGAAGCTGTAAAGAATCCTTGCACTCACTTCTGGCACACTTCCCTCGGTACTTTTACTTGGTCTTCCCTCAAACCTTAATTCCAGTTCTTTGGCTCTTCTACTGCACTTGGTCTGAATTGTAAGAAAAAAAATCCTGTGTGTGAGGTGTCACTGATGAAATTTGTACTGTGTCAAGAAACAATTCAAGATTTTTCTGCCATGTGGGATTTCCACACACCGATCTGCCCCTTTTTTATAATTCTATTTTAATGATATAAAGCAGGAGTCTTTGAGGAAATCTATTGAGTCTCTTTCATCATTAAAAAGAAGAACCTGTCAGATCTGAGTCCTCAGTGGCAAAATGAAACATCTTTTAGTGAAGGGTTTTATTCTTTATCTTGTATTTAACTACAACAAAGAAAAAATGGTGCTGTTCACATATTTCTTTTCTATGTTCTATTTTTAAAGGCTTTTTTCTTTATTGTTATTTGCTTTACTTGAGAATATAGTGAGAGTGAAATTGAGAGAATATGTAACCATATATTATGTTTGAATCAAACTATTACTTTAAGTGACAATATTTCTGAATAAAAACAAACATGCAAAAGAACAGATTAGAATTCATGCATTTTGAGAAACTATAATATGCTAGCTATTTATAGCTTTTATCTGATTAAGTCAACATCTTGGTGGGGTAGTCATTCTGCCTTGCTCTTTATGGGATAGGAACCTGAAAGTTATAAAATTGTGTGGCTTGTTCACAACCACAAGAGTAAATGGAGTAGGTGTGATTTGGACCTACTTTTTTTCTGACTCCGAAGTTTTGGCCTGATGTAATACCTTAGTCTATTTCTTCATGACGAGTAATGACCAATGTTCATATGTACTGCTGTAAGAGGGAATTAGATGTAATTATATCCAGAAGTGTAATAAGTTAGTGAAAAGGACATGAAGTTATAAGATTCAGATGTCATTTCTTTCTCCATTACAAATTACTGGTGGGACCTTGGACAATACACTTTACTATAAAATGTAGATACTGTTAGGTCATGCATTTTTTACCTGAGAATCTAATATGATCACAATTTATAAACTCCAATGTTATATAAACTTTAATTTTATTATGATTGTACCTATTTCAATATAATTCTTTTGAATAAGTCAATCATCACAAAACATGAAAATTAAATTGGATTGATACAAATTATATAAGTTATACTGAATCAAAAGACTGTTTAACATATGACCTCAAGGCAGGGGAATGGAGAAAATATAAGAACTAAGATATATCATGTACAGGTACAAATTCCCACTCATGAATGTCATCATACCGTATATCTAAAATGTACCAATAAACTTAATAAATAAAAAATGACCTCAAACCACTCTTTTTATCCTTTAAGATTTTTCCCTACATTTTCTCTTGCTGGAAATATCAGCATAATAATTTTGGAGTATATGGTGGTATGTGTTTGATTTTGCACATATATTTTGATTTTGAATTTATGTGCTGTATTCTCTTTCTGAACTATCAAAAATTAAATGTTTAATATTCTCAACATTTCATGATTGTTTAACTTGTATTCAGGAAAAAACATTTAAATTTTAAAAATCTTACATCTTATCTAGATTTTTTAATACTTTGATAAAGAAAAAAAGGACTGGGTGTGGTATAGAAAATATTGCATACACATATTATATGTATGCATAACATCAAAAAAGAAGAAAATGGAAAAATAGGATGGGAAGTGAATTACTCTATAAATGAGTGTCCATTCCTTAGAGACATACCTATATTCTAGATTTATAGTTATATTGTATGTATATTGCTTTAAATGATAACATGACTTATTGTATTCCTAGGGCATTATATATTATTTATATCCTGAATACAACTGTAACTAAACATTTGAATAGAGTTATTTCAGAATACATACCTTCTCAACTAATGGATAATGTTAAAAAATACTTTAATATAAATACAAAAAATATCTTATATAAATATTGATACTATATAGTTATTTTTATAAAGGTGTTTATGAGATTATAGAAACTACATAAATATATTTTGTTTATTACATTTTCTAGTTCAACATAATGGAACATGATTTATAGTTCAAAATAAAAAATCTATAAGACACACCCTTGTACATGTGGAAATGGTCTTATATATTGGAAGTATATATTAAAGTTTATTTAATGAAAAGAGAGAAGAAGTTTCAAAATTTTTTACGCTAATCTGGATTTCACTTTTTAAAATTTGGTCAATTTAGGCAATGTGTATGGAAGATACATTTTAATGAATTAAACAAAAATGGCTTCACCGAATGATATCACTGCATCTTAGCAAACGATCAACTCATTTTTTCAGAAACAAATTGTGACCAGAATTTAACTCTTAATAGGTGGAACTTTCTACCTTGTACTTATAGTTAATTAAGCTTCTCTTTTACCAGCAATTTTCATTGAAAAATTGTTTCCAAACCCATATGAGAGGGACAATGTATTTCTGTCATGTTCAATAGTGTTCAGAACTATCAAAAGGCCATGAGGATAATGTATTCGTTCCAAGGATTTTTTTTTTTATTTTTAAGGAAAATTTTGTACCAGTGGGAGTTGTTCAAGTTGGAGTAATATCATTTTACAAGTAAGCTCACAGTCATTTTACCTTGCCAGCCCCAGGCCCTCTAAATTTAGCTTATGCTCTTTGGGTTTTCTTTCCAGCACACAAAATAGTATGCACCAGCACAGGCTTTTGATAGCTCCTTCTAGTCTTGCATCTACAATATAGACTTTGAACTTTATTATTAATTACATTTAGATGCAATTAGCATTTTATTTGTAATGTAAAATATCTCCTTTCATAGAAAGATAAAAAAATAAAAATATTAAAAAATTAGACTACAAAAATCTCTTTATGTAGTTGAGCCTTTATTGGTATAAAACAAAACATAATAAGTAGAGGAAAAACTATACTGGTTGACTCCTGCCTTTCTTAAACACTTATTTTTATAATGATTAGCTCTGTAATGTTAATAGTGAGTTATGAAGAACCAAAAGGTATTATCAGTGAATATAATCTGTCATTCAATTTATAATATTTTGTAAAGCACTTACCAGGGGCTAAAGAGGTTGGATTTATATTAGCTAGATTCAGGATACAGTAGACCCTCTCGTCTGTCTGTGGGGAAGACATTCCAAGATACCCAGAGGATGCATGAACTACAAGTAATAAACATGTATATATTGTATTTATTTTCTAAAACATGTATGCTTCAGATTGTTTAATTTATCAGTTAGGTACAATGTAAAATGAACAACAATCACTAATAACAAAATATAATATAATGATAATATTTTATTATAAAAGGTTTTTAAAATTTAAGAATTGTTCTGAAATTTCCCACTTCCCATTTTTAGACCAGAGTTGACTTTAGGTAAAAAAGTGTAGAAAACAGCCACAAATAAGGGAGGGCTGATATAACTTGCTGGAAGCATGGGACTGGATGAGTGGAAAGAATGGCCTATTGACTCCTCTTTTGCCATGTTTAAAAGACTGGTCCAAATAATGGATTTCATCATATTTGTTTTAAATAACACTAGAATAATTAAATTCCGTCTTCAAGAAATTTGGACTTTTATATTTTTAATTAGAGATTATTAGATAAATTTAATCAATTTAGGATTTTTTTGTGATTACCCTACAATAAAATGTAAAATTTTGCATAAACTTGAATTGTTAATCATTACTCCACTGCTCCTGGATTGGGACCCTTGGGGAGAAGTCAGGCATTTGCCAGGACAGTGCCTCCTATTCCCACCTCATTGCATCTCCTGGGCTTTATCCAAGTCCTACGCTTGTGATCTTTGTATAATACCTTAGAGCTTCTATTTCCTTGAGTCTTTCTATTTCCTTGTTCCATAACAGTTACACATGTTTCTTCCCCCAAATTAATAGAAGTAATAATCTCTGGGTCAATCAAGAGTCAAATATTGAATATGTTAATTCCTCATCTCATACATTTTTTTCCACCTAGAAATTCTGTAGTTTAACCTATAACACTTAGACTTGAGAGTGTGTCTTTTGACTTAATCATTTAATAAATGTAAGCAATAAAATAAATTATCAGTACTCCCCAGGATGCTGCCATTTAAATTATTCATGAATAATAGTACTATTTAACTACTAATCAATGCTGCTTATCTACTCTGAACAATATGCCATCATGCATGGAACTTGATAGTCTATGCGCATTGGTTCTCCTTCTTAGGTCTGTACTGTGATAAAAATATTAGAGTACTCCCTCCCTCATTTCACCTCTTGGGTAACTGAGGGTGAATGAAGCTTGGAGACTTTCTAACTTTATTAATTTCCAGAAAGTGCTAGCTACTGGGTAGGACCTTAGGGATGCATTATCTACATAAGATGTACTGCTACAAAGAGGATATCCCAGTATTTGAAGGTCTGAAATTTGTTCTCTGTTGTAAAAAAGCATCTAAGATTTTTTTTTGTATTATTAATTTTATTGGTACATTTTAGGTATACAATATAAGGACATTCATCATTGGGAATTTGCACCTTTACATACTCTATCTTGGTTCTTTTTTTCCCCATTCCCCTGCCCTCCCTTCCACCTCTCTGCCCCTCCCTATTTGCATTTACATTTTTTCATTTTCTCATATTAATTCCATTCACTTCTTTCCTTTCCCCTAGCCCTCCCACTTTCCTTCCCCTTTGCCCCTTTTCTTACTATCATCTAAGGTATTTTTAACCTTCAACTTTGTGACTTCCAAATGTCTATGTTATCATCTGTGTTGAAAATTATACGAATTATCTTTCAGATGTAGGTTTCAGAAATTTAGCTCAATATGTTTAAGATTGAAAGAAAATAAAATACACCCAATTGACTTTCATTTGAAGAATTCTGAAACTGTCAGATAAGTGAAGAAATGACTCTAGAAATCTCGGGAAATGTGGGGTCAAGAAGCAACTGATAGGCAGGATGTCTTAAACCAATCAGTAATTAAGGGTCTTTTTTGTGAATATGGGCTACTTCCTTAGTTCAGATAATACTTCTGCCTCACCGGTCTCTTTTCATTGCAGAATTACATAAAGTCAACTCTAAGCAGTAATAAAAAGGAAACAACACCAAATCTATGCACAGCGTGGAAAACTATTTTGTCTCAAAAATAGAGGTGTTTGATCAGGCAAAATATCAGATCACCTGTAACAGGAAAAAGTTCACATTAGCCTCAAGGCAGCAACAGTTATATGCCTGAATAACATCAACACTATATATACAAAAACCTTCTGAGAAAGGAAGTTTTGCAGTTTTCAGAAAAATATAAAAACTCCCAAATTAATTAAAAACAAGCTTCTTAACCAAAAAGAAAACACTCCAATTTATTGAGACTAAGATGAAATGTTATGGAAATAAATATAAATGAACTAAAATTTACCACTGAAAGAAAATTATTTTCATATCTCAATGTAAATTTTAATTATTTGTCATTTATAATAGGAATGTAGGCAATAAATGTAGAGGATTTTAAATAAAAGGGAACAGAACAACCAAATAAATACCTTAATACCAGAAAAAGTTAATTTCTGACATCAACACAATATACATAACTAATAAGGATTAAAAATACATTATTCTAACAATATCTAAATTTTACATATATTTATATAAACATTTCATGGCATTAAAATGTATAGGCAAATTTGTTAAGAAATCTAAGATTAAACAGTGAGTATATATATGTTCATCTTCAGCCACTTTTACTTGATTTTTATAAGAAGTTGATGATCAAGTATAAGTTTTGTGCATTGAAAATTTGACTCTCTAATCTTTTCTCAGGGATACTTCTAATTGGATCTTTAATCCATTCATCATCCCTTTTTGGTTTATGAATACATGTGGAGCCAACATATGTATGGAATAATCTAAATCTTTTCCCTTCTCTTTTAACTGGTTTTATGTGACCTCTAGGTTCAAGTTCCACAAGGGATACTTTTCAGGCAGCTCACTTGTGCCTTTTTGTCCTGCTCAGGTTCATACTTCAGTACACTATTTCTGCTTTATAATGAACCGCTGCTCTGCAAAACCAAATTTATGATTTGGCAAGTCAGATAGACTTCAGTTTATAATGGCTGTTACAGGTGGCTGATCAATTTCTGTTTCATGGTGAAGTATTCCATGTCTACCAGCACCCATTAATGTGTCAGGGACACTTTCTTATAGGCTGTATAAAAGAAGCCATAACCTTGTTCCAGAACCCTTTAGATGTACATTATGAGTCTTCCACTGGGCCTTGCCACAGGTTCATAAAAAAATCACTTCCCACCACTAACACCATATGATCTGCTGGATAGTATAACTCAGGTAATAAGACTGCTTGCACACAACCTGAATTTTTGAGGAGTCCTTCCTTTCAGACTCACTTGGAGCTGGAATCTTTCCATGAAGCCCAACACATGGTCTGCCTTATTACTTGTGAAATGTGTTACCTTCAGAAGCCAAAGACTGCTAAGCTTCCTTCATGGTGGTAGAAAGTGAATGATGCAGATACCTGTTTCTGACATTGACATATGCCTGGTGATTCCAAACTTCACAGAAGGGCCAGGTGTTCAACATCCATAGGATTTATCTCCTACTATGTAGGGTACATGTGTCCTATCAAGAGCTTTGATATAATAACCACCTCTTCTTTATTTTCAATAAGTATGATGTCACGGATGTAATCATTCATTGTGATGCATTCCTGAAAGTTAACACTGTCTACTCCATTTTAGACTTCATTATGACATAGCAGACTTAAAGAGCACTAAAGAAAATATGTTATTAAATATTATTTTCTAATGCATTTGGATACAAACTCTTTTGGAACCTTTCTTGTACTTGGAATGGAAAGCAATGAATTCACTTATTCACTGACTATGTGCCATGTATTTGAAGCTCTGGCAATGGGACCCCTTCCAGAACATCTTCTATGACTGGAGGTTCTTCTGGCTGAAGCCTGAGGTAGTCTACCATTATTCTTCAGAAGTTTTCAGTGTGTTCAAGGGCTAGACTTGTGAAATAAGTGGAGATGTAGAAGGGACTACTATCCTCCATCCTTTAAGTTCTCAGTGACATCGCTCATCTTTATTATCTCCTCAACATTAATACTGTATTTGACTTGTTATCTGAAAAGTTGAGGGGTCAGTGTTAGAGATTTTCATTTGACTTTTCCTCCTATTAAAGGTCTTACCCTACAGGTGTAACCCAGTGTGGACATTACTACAAATGGCATTCAAATCAATTTCAGTTACATACTTGGGGCAAAGGGAAATGACCACTATGCAGGTTTATACATGCAACGGTCAGTTGTCAGCTAAACTTTTGCCGGGGCTCCATTTATTACCTGACCCATTAGCCCTACCTCTAACAGAAGACACCTATACCAACTCACACTCCGTGACTTACAGTTTTTGATGTGTTTGGTAATACTTTTGCTTTAGACTTGAATGATTTGAGTTCATGACATTTTGTCCCTGTGGAGAAAATCTTAGGGAATCATGATGGTGTATAACTTGGTATAAGAGGGTTCTTCCTTAGTCAATGGGTTCCATTTGGAGGGGAATTGAGAAAAGTTCACTACCCTTCTCTGGGTTGATTACCTTCAGCCTCCTGCCTCTCCATTCTTATCTCTTCTTGATTATAGATGTTGTAAAGGTGGAAGGCTGCTGTTTTGCCTCTAGGATCACTATGCTGTATGGAGGATATCTGCAACCCCTGTAGGCCATGCCCTCTTAGCTGTTGGCCTGCCTTCCTGGTTTTACAGTAATTCTGGCCAACAGGCTTTTGGCATTTGAGTGCTGTTCAATTAGCGTTTACTATTTAGGAACCTTAGCATCCCTGGAGATGTTAATGAACTCTGTTCTGTGGTTTCCATTCATACCAGTGCCCCTAGCCTGCAGCCACCACTGAATGCTTTTTTGATGATAGTGCTCCATCACTAACATATTCCTGATTGGCTTGATGAAAGGTGTGCCTTCTGAGAGATCAGAAGAGATGTCTTGCTACCTTATGTATTTCCTTAAGCATTCTTGCATTCCTCAGCCTCCTTGTTTTTTTCTCTACCATTTTTTGAGTGTAACAGATAGTGCCCTTTTCTGCATGTTCTGTATAACTTTCTCAACATTGCTAATGACCATTCCAGCAGTGAGTTGGGCCCATCCCTTTGTATCCCTGCTGGAATGTTAAGTGCTCAGGAGATAATGGTTTCTCAATGAAATCTTATCCAGTATTGTATTCCATACACTTTGATCAAGCATTCTAAGCATCCAACCCTAGAATAATTCCTGGCTCCTAGTGGTATATACCATTTAATTCTTTTGGTATATGGTCTCTTTGGTTCTTTATGGATCACAAGATGTCCTCAGACAGCCTATGCTGGGATGATATTCAATGACAGCTTAGAAAGAAGGTGAAGACAGCTTCTGAAGGGGCAACTGCTGCCCCCTAGGAGAGAAGCCTCGGTAGTGACTTCTGGAACAATGAAAGTGTTATATCTGACTAAGGTAGAGAGGCAAGCTCTAGGATCCTGGAGCATTTGAGTGTGGAGCTGCAGAGCCAATATCTGTGGGGGAATCCAGGTAAATCATCACATCTCATGTCCAGAGTCCAGGGATTTTCAAGTTAGGATCTTTACCTTTGCATTACAGACTTGCTTTGCCTAACCACTTAAATATCTGGAGCTCTTAAATGTTAATAATGAGATCACTAACCTGTAGCTCAACTGAGTCCATCCTTCCAAAAGAGAAGATATGGGCCTTTCAGCTCTCTCCTTGGACCATCAGTCTATCTTAATCCTATTGGGAACTGAATCAGTCTGAGATCTCCATCTAATTGGCTCTTGTCTTGGGCTACCCTGGGTACACTTGTGATGGTCTGAGTCTTCTGAGGAGCAGAAATCAATCAAACAAAAAATTTACTAGGGGACATGACTGTGAAAGAGAATAAGAAGTGCATCCTTCATGGTTAGCTGACCATCATGTGCGTCAGAAGACCATCACATACATTGATTCACATGCAGGATGGAAAGACAAGGAAACAGGTTAAGAAGATGAACCTGTCTTTTTGCATGGTTCTAAGGAAGGTCAGCAAGGCTCAGAGGAAGTCTGAGGCAAAATCACTTTATTAGCCCTGCTATGGCAGTTATGGGTGATGGTAGCTATCATGAGAACAAACACCAGCTAGATGTGAGAATGTAGCAACCAGGGCCATGAGTTAACTACACTCTCAAAGTCAGAGATTTAAGGTGCACGTTTACTGTACCACCACAGTATCAGCAGGGTGTGTATTCACACACATCCATGCAGTCTCCCAGATAAACCACTGTAGGCTCTTTGCAATTATCAAAATATCTTCACTAAAATGTGAGCATATTTAACTGAGTTCTCTCTGTTGTCCTAATATGGGCATTCACTGCTATGAATTTCCCACGTAGAACTGCTTTCATTGTGTCCCACAGATTCCTGTATGCTGTACTGGCATTATCATTTACTTGTAGAAACTGTCTAAATTCTTCTTCAATTTCATCTGTCACCCATTGGTTACTCAGGAGGGTGTTATTCAATTTCCATGTGTTTGTGGGAGTTTTGCGGTTTCTTATATTATTGATCTCCAATTTTATTGCACTATGGTCTGATAATATACAGGGGATAACTTCAATTCTTTTACATTTACTTAGATATGTCCTATGAGCTAGCATGTGATCTATTTTGGAGAATGACCCATGTGCAGCTGAAAAGAATGTGTATTCTGATTTTATGGGGTGGAACACTCTGTAAACATCTATTAAGTCCATTTGTTCAATAGCTTGGTTCAGTTCTAGAATTTCACTGTTAATTTTTTTTCTAGTTGATCTGTCTATTTGTGATAGAGGGGTGCCTATTTAATAAATGGTGTTGGAAAAACTGGATTTCAACCTGCCAAAGATTAAAACTAGACCCATACCTATCACCATGCACTAAACTAAGATCAAAGTGGATTAAAGATCTAAATATTAAGACAGAAACACTAAACTTGCTGGAAGATAAGTTAGGTAGAACTCTTGAAGACATTGGCATAGGAAAAGACTTTATGAACAAATCTTCAGTAGCACAGGAGCTAGCACAAAGAATCAACAACTGGGATTTCATCCTATAAAAAAGCTTCTGCACTGCAAGAGAAACTACCAGCAGAGCTAAGAGACAATCTACAATGTGGGAAGAAATTTTTAGCAGCTGTACCTCTGACAAAGGTCTACTATCAAGAATATATAAAGAACTGAAAAAAATCAGAACCCCAAATTTAAAGACCCAATTCAAAAATGGGCATCTGAAATGAACAGACATTTCTCAGATAAAGAAGTAAAATCAGCAAATAAATATATGAAAAAATGTTCAACATTACTGGTCATTTGAGAGATGCAGATGAAAATAACACTGAGATTCCATCTCACCCCACAAATAATGGCTGCTAACAAGAAATCAACAAATAACAAATGCTGGCAGGGGTGTGGAGAGAAAGGAACCCTTCTCCATTGTTGGTGGGAGTGTAGACTGGTGCAACCACTATGGAAATCAGTATGGAGATATCTCAAAGAACTAGGACTAGAGGCCCCATTTGACCCAGCTATTCCCCTACTGGGTATCTTCCCCAAAGAATTAAAAGAATCATACCACAGCTATATATGTTCACCTATGTCTATAGCGGCACAGTTTGTAATAGCTAAAGCTTGGAAACAGCCCAAGTGCCCATCGACTGGAAACTGGATAAAGAAGATGTGGGTTTTTTTTTTATAAAATGTAGCACTACTCAGCCATAAAGAATGAGAAACTAGAGACATTTATAGCTGAATGGATGCATATTGAGGCCATACTCTTCAGTGAAATAAATAGGATACAAATGTGTAAGTACCGAATAGTTTCTCTAGTGTGAGAAACTGAAAGTGTAAATAAGGATGAAAATGATTAAAATGAATAATTGATAATTTGAAATAGGAAAAAGCCCAAGGGTTTGGGGGTGGCGGGAGGGGGAGGGGAAAGGGAAGACGGGAAAGGAAAAAAGTATGAGAAATAAATGGAATCAAAGTCTGTGTAAATAGGGAAGGGTGGAATGGGTGAAGGGTGCACAGGTAATGGGAGAAAAAATAAGAACTAAGATATATCATGTTCAGGTACAAACACCCAATAATAAATGTAAATGTACTGTATACCTAAAATGTACCAATAAATATATAAATAAAAAAATACAAACAGTATATATGAAAAGATGAGTTGAAATAGTTTACATTAATTATTGGGTATTTGTCTCTCCTTTGTGATTTTTCCCCCTTTCTTTTGCTTGTAGTTTTAGCCAGTGAAGTGTAAGCCTTCCTTACATATTAAAGCTATTGGCTATTTGTTTGTGAAAAATAAATAAATAAAATATGAGCATATTATTACACATATTATATAATATAATAACATACATATAATATCATGCATATTATTATGATATACTACAATATGGTGTATAACAGGATAATATAGAAGTAGTAATCCTGACATAATACGCAGGAAGTCAATTTTCAATAGTAGGAAATCTGTTAATTATCCAAAATATTACTTCAAAATGAAAATCATGTAAGAGTGCCAGAAATGCTAATAAGTCATGAGCTAAATTATTTTTT